TTTGATTACTGGAGAATAGCTTTAAGTTTCACAATAGCCTCTAACTGTGTGTTTTGGGCTTTATTTTGTCTTAGTAATAACTGAGATGAATTCGGGCACTATGTTAGAATATAATTCCATGTTAGTCAAATTCATTCGTTATAAGACACGGTGATTCAGTCTTTATAACTAGACGACCCTCTGAGAGCAATTCATATTCACATCAATATGTTCAAGTGTCCTCCTGATTCAATTCTGTTTTATATGTCAAATTTCTGTGTATCCGGTATAGTTGCTGCACCACTTCGACTGCACGTGTTTGCTGTTGACTCGATGAATAAACATTCTGTGACTCACCTCTCTCTTCACCTCACTGTTATATTATTATACGTTTACCTTAACCCACCCTATTGTGTGATTACATGCAAGTCATTTCAATTTCTGAACTTTTTTTCTGGATTATTCAGATTATTAGGGTCATCTATTTTCAATACAGCTAAATTCTGATAATCTAACTGACACGAAACTGCAAGTTTCACATGTGTGATTGTATTATATGGTCATATTAGTTTTTTTCCTATTAGGTCCTTAAGACAGAAAAGCTTGTTTCTGAGTGAGTTTGCTGGTTTGAACGACACCCTTATATCAGTTTTATTACGAATCCTATGTAGGGCACCCAATACTTCCTCTTCATATAGCACCACAATTGGAGCTTTGAATTCCTTATTATTTGTACTCTTTTTACCGCTGATTATTATTACCATTACGTGGATTTTTTGTTTAAAAGTGAACTCTCTGTATAAATATGTTAATACTGTTTCTGTACATAAACTTAATAATATCTTTAGGGTGTAAGCAGCTGATGGTAAGCCGACGAATTACATGTGGGTACCATTTTTTTTCTGCCCAAATTGTCGTTCTTGCTTCATCCAAAAACAGACAAAACTTATTAATTGAATTTGATTTTTGTATAACGCGTAAATAGGAAAAATTGTTTAGATTATACATTGGTAAGTATACCTATTTACATTTTTGAGTTACTAGATGGGTAACGATAGATCAACTTCATAACCAATCAGTTGAATTCAGAAAAATTTAGATATTGTTTAACCATCAAGTGATATCACACTCCAGGCTGTCGAGTGGAACCAAAATAGGAAGGGGCGAATTTGCAGTCTGAGGGTGACATGGAGGAGATCATACGAAGAGGAGATGAAGGCATTTGGGCGGACGTGGAGCCAGATGAAAACTTTGATGTAGAACCGAACGCAATGGAGACATGCGGCTGAAGCCCTATATTCCTTTAGGAACTGAAGGAGACAATAATAATAAGTTCATTATCATGCTTCTTCAGACACAGCAAAAAAACAGATGTATTGACTCGAAATTTGCTAATGTGCAAATAAAATGCACTATGAGTAAAACAACTTTTGTTACGACTTGTTTGTGGAAAGTATTAGTCTGCACGAAATACAATATTTGCTCGCAAACCTGACTGCGATGTGTCAACTGAAATACTAGTATTTTGCATGGACGTTTACTTTCCTTAATTATTTATTCATTGGATGTATCACACAATGAAACAGTATTATTTACTGGATGACGTTTTGGACACAACTTATTGTTCATAATCATATCAGTCGTTACCACACAGTTGCGAAACTGGATTCTCGTCCTTCCTTACCATTAGTCATAGTAAAGGCAGATTTTTTCGGATGTCTGGGACAGGTGTTGAGTCATCTGTGCACATTATTGTGTACATTATTAGATGATTTAATTTTTGGCTTTAATTGAAATTTTTTACGTTATCGTCATTTTCTTTTCCGGTCTGTTACGTCGGTGACCTGCAAGACTAATCACTTTCTGCTACTTGACAGCCTCTTAGTATGCAAAACTGACATTGTCTACTAAACGGTTTTCATTAGTGACCGCCAAGTGGAATCGTAAGCGTGACAGTCATGAATCAGTAGTCCAGCGGATGACACTCTGAGGTGTGAACACACGGCTGCTGAGTTCAGGGTTTAGTCCAAATTCTAGTAGTCACTATAATCAACAGATCATTGTTTAAGACACTAATTTGTCTTGGTCCTTGAGAGGGTTTCATGAGATAAAACAGTAACTAGGTGCATAAGGTGAAACACTGCTTTTCATCCTGGTAATAAACTTCTTTCCAGGAAGCAATCAACAAAGAAGCAATCAAATCAAGGTTTTCAAATGACTCCGATAGTAGAACTAGTAGCTTACACTTAAAATATAACTTACAATTTTTCCTAAAGGCACAAAATAAATATCTTACCTTCCTACACAATTCTTTAGTTATCGTTCTTATGCACTGACAAACATTTACTTCCACTGCTTAGTAAATTTTTGCAATCTATTACAATTAGTCACTTTGATTGGACACTAGTAACTACTGTGATGTGTCAAGTCCTTTGTTTGGTGCAGACTGCAGCATTGGGTGATGCGGGTTTGAATCTCAGAAGGGACATGAGTCCCTTCAAGGTTGCAGATACGCTTTGCTGACTGACTGGTGAGTGCCAACTAGCACGAAACCTAGGTCCAAGGCTTCCTGCCGATTGCCTACAACCATCTAATAACAACTAGTCACTTTCAACAACTACGCAACATTCTGACTTTCGTTCATTCTCTATTTTATATTTGTGGTTTTCAACATATTCGATTACAATCCGCTGACTTATATATATTATGAGTCACTATCTATGATTTCTCTCCTTTTATCTTGATTATTTTGTTGAGAATGATTTGCTTGCATAAAACACTAGAATCATTACTTCACAACCCTGAAAATTTGCATCTGATTTGCTCATACGACATCTACGCATAGCACTGACTATGTCAGCATTAAGATACTACCTCAATAGTGGAATGGGCTTGTTCACACGAATGTAAGACTGTGGAGGAAGTTAGTGGGGAAAAATTATCCAATCAAGTTATCTGTGTTTATTTTTCAGAAATACTTACGTCACTGGTTTATGACAGTTGAGATGGAACGCAATCAATACTGACCTATCAAATCAGTAACAAGTGCGAAGAAATGTTTACAATAGCTCATTCAGGATTGACAGTTATAAATCCACTGATGTCAACACAAAACATCTATCAAATGCAAAAATGGAAATCGTGTCAGAAACTGCAATGTGGTAGAAGAACAAGATGGGTTTGTAGTCTGTTAATTTTCATTGTCATGGTTAGTGAGAACATGAGGCAAAACCAGATTAAATAAGTCGGTGACGTATTTGTGAATTTCGAATCTAATGATGAAAAAATTTCTTCATCGACGAAGTCGTCTTCAGAGACTGTATTAAAATGTATAGCAGCCTATCGCAGAGGGAGGCGAGGGCGAAAGAAACATCTTTCATTTCTTTCATAACTCATGGGAAGTTTATAATCAACAAAAGTTTAGACTTTAAGAGGTGATTTGTCATCAGTAGCGTGAGAGGAAATACGAATATTGAAAAACAAAACAAACAAACAAGTGGAGTGCGCTGAATGTAAGTTCAAGAGGTGACAAGCAATAATAATGAAATAGTAGTAATCGTGTGGTTATGACTGGACTTAAAACTCGACTGCCTAAAGAAGCTATTGAAAGCAGTTGTTCCCACTAATATTATTGTCCTGAATAAATTATAAGAATATTCATATTGTTTAGATTAATTACTGACAGACAAATGAAAGTACAGAATTGTACAGGTGTCCGAAAGTTCAAGTCGAAACACACTGTGATCCTTAAGATACCCTAATTTATTGGGAGTGTGAGGAGTAAGATCAAAATATTCTAACATTTCACTTCAGCCTGTCTAAATCAAAAATGCCAGTGTAGTTAAAGTTCAAAGGTTTGTAGATGAATTCAAGTAAATCCGTAAAGAGATAATGTTTTAGTCATACTGCCTAGTTGTTAGCGCCATAAATATTCGCAATGAAACCATTATTTTATTTACTGTGTAGTTGACGACAGTATGACAGAAAATTGAGAAGAACAAATGGGCATGTGAGTTTATCAATAGATTAGAATTTTCAGCACGCCATTTTATATATACTCCTACCTCATTCCATCCAACTCTCTTCCATATTCATTCATCTGTGTCAATCATTTCATCACTGATATGTCTTATTATTTTAGTCTCTCGTTGTTAATATTTCCCTATTTGTAGTCATCATTCTGACTAACCAGCAAGTATATCTATTGACTGATAAGCAGGAGAATGTCCACTCTGATAGTTCTCTAGAGAGTAAAACCATGTTATGTAAAGTTTAGTAACCAGCGACCTGCAAGTTTACACCTGTAACGTTAATTTGTGATTTCCCCACAAAATTTCGATTCCAGATCACACATGAAGAAATTTCACTTTATATAGATTAAGCATATGGTTCGAGAGGTAAACATAGTAAACTGGAAAAATTACTGTATGAACTGTCAGTAAAATATAAAATATTCAGTGAAAGATGTATATTCTAACTTTTGAAGGTAGTCAGACTCATCAGTGGCGAGCATGTAAGTAATGTTTTAATTCACTGTGTTCAATAGTACCTAGCATAAAAGACTTCGAACTGAAGATTAAAGCTTACTGTACGGAATATCCTGTAGAGCATTAGAGTGACTTGATGTCAAGCTGTTTATTGTGCATAAAAAGAACACACTCGACTCCTTAATTTTAAAATGTAAACCCGTCAAATGGCTGACAATGTATGTTGTCATGATTGAATACAGTGAGCTGTACTATTTTATAAAGGCGATAATTATATTTACAGTATTTTGCTGTCGTGAGAGTTAAAAATTAATCCCATATCAGTGTAAAAATTAATCAAAGCATCATGATAAAATCAAGATACATGAATCATGTAAGTGATGCATTTATAAACGAAATAGAAAACATCACTTTCTGAAATTAAAATGTACAATTTTAGGATATTTCCTTCCGAAAAGGGGAATTTTCATGTAAGAATAACTTTTCCCCTTCTCTAAAGAAGTTTGTCGAGTATTTATTAGTTGTTTTTTTAATTTATGCATTTCTAAGACTGTCTATTAGTTTATCCAAATTGAACTTCTTGTTTGGTCTTCCTAGGTTAACACCACGTGATATCTTGGAAAACCGAAGAGTGTTTTGCGTCGAACTGATACTATTTTTGTCCGTTCTGATAGTTACAATAAGTATACATTTACCAGACTGCGTGAAAAATGGTTTTAGTATGTGCGTTAACTTTGAATCCCTGTAGGAAATACTGTTAGGATCTTGTGTGCGTAGTGCCGTGAAAACTCGATTCAGAGCAGTTAGAGACTTATTAATATATCCTGCTTCCTTAGTAGATATTTTGTCACTTGATGTCTCAGCTTTAATTATATCCTCAAAACCCGCAAGATCACACAACGCTAGAACACTGTTAACTTCACTTTCATGGATCCGACTGGATGCCCGTAAGTGAACAAATATAAGTAAGTGGGAACGAGAAGAGTGAGGATTAAGCGCAGTACTACACGTTTTTCGACGCTGACGACAAATGTTCAACAGTTCATCCACGTGTGAGTCATTTTCAATGGCAACTGTTTCCAATTTCTCCTTTATTTGTTCCAGACTCATATCAACACGAACAGGTGTTCCTACCTCCATACTTAAAAGATCAGTCACTGTGTCGTTATAGATTTCGATAACTGTAACCAGTAGCTGAAAATCCCATTCGGGTTGTCTGATATCACGCTCTCTCAAAATTGTATGTAGAGCTCGTTGAGCGATACCCTGATTTTCAATGGAGCTATCTTCCGGGCCTAAAAGAGTATATGTTTTACCACTTGCTTCACCACCGTAAGTTAGAAAACAAACATTGTAACCATCTAGAAATGAACAGACTGACGGCATCAATTCTGTATACACTTCTGCTTGACTGGAACAACCATCAAATACACGCTCAAATTTATAATGTTCAATGTTATTCTTATTTCCAACGTAAAGTGACAACGTGTCTAGAGAATGAATTTGAACACACTGTATTGAGTGCGTGATAGTCCGACATCGACAGTAAACTCTGACATTACCTAAATATTCTTGCATCATATTAAAAACGGCTTTACGTCGACTTTCTTCCATTCTGAGTGTCATACGAAGTGATCTGTTTTCTTCCACAAGCTTAGAAAGCTTTGAACATGATGTCATTTCATTGAACTTATTATTACCATAAGTCATAAAATTTCTACAACTTGATGAAGTATTCACAAAACTGGTGTTGGAAGCCAGTTTTTTTTCAACAGCATCCATGAATTCATTTGTCATATTTAGAGTGAAATTTTTCAGACGAGCTAGTTTTCTCAAAGTGCTATTTTTGTCTTCTTTTAATTGGATTAAAAATGATTTAAGTTCAACTAGGAGTGATAGCATGTTCTTATTCATGTTAATTCGAAGTTTGCCTGATTCTTTCAAGTTACATGAATTTAATAAACAGTCTTCAGTGGGTTGACAGGACTCCCTACGTTGATTAATTCCTCTGTTTAATGAATATGTATTCACTATCATTTCTTGGCCTATGTCTCGTAGTTTCCGTACTTTTTTAAAGTATGCGATGCACTCGTCTGTGTCATAGTTAACATATCGTAGTTCAGCTATAATTTCAAGGGGATTATCTAAATAAGGACAATACTTTGTAATTTGTTTGATTTGCCGTTGCATTTTAGGCATGGCTAATTCCAGCACAATCGGTAGACGTATGGTTTTCAATAGTATACTCTCTGAATTTGAGTTGTTATGCTTCATCTTTGGTAAAATGCTTCTGTTTGCTAGTTGTATACAGTGTTCGACTGTTCTTCTATGTGTTGAAAGTTGAAAAACTGTAATTGCATTTTCTGTAGCCTTACGATATATTTTATCATAGTAAGCACTTATGGTCTTACTGGGTGACAAATGACTGTCTACAAAGAAATCATTATGTTGACATATCGTATCTCTTTCCATAGTTCGTGATTCAGAACAAGATCTTTCCGCGGGTATTTTGCGACGCCATATAAAACACCTACTTTTGGTATGAGCATTTGAACAGTTTTTTGAATTTCTTTTAGTTTCGGTTAGATCTAAAGTAAATGAAGATTGGAGAGGTGGTGTTTTGGGGGAAGGAGGTGGGTTAGCGAAATCTATTTTATTACTTTTTCGGCGGACACTTACATTTGAGTCTCCATTATTTGGGTTAATTTCATGATAATTGCTCAAGCTGCATTTCCACGCATTATTCTTCACCTCATCACAAGAAGTTAACCTTTTATTTTCCATAACTTCTCTAGAAAAGCGATCAGATAACTGGAAACCGCTTGATGGATCCAAATTCGAACCCAGAGATGATGACGTAAAATCCGTTGGTCCTTCGGGAATGACTAAGTTATTATTGGTGTTTCTGTCTGTCAACGATTCGCTGAAATTATTTATCAAATGCAAAGAAGAAGAAGAAGTAATGGAAGGAGATTCTTTGTTTTCAGTGCCAACGAGAGCTGTCCTTTGCAAAGATTTATTGAGATCACATACCTTACTGTATTCAGCATAAAGACTATTGAAAGCACTTATCAGTCGTATTAAACAACCACTCTTACTGTGACTACCACGACCACTGATGAATAATTTTACAGCTTCTGCTGTTGAACAATCATGAAACATTTTAATCTGCTGCAATTCACAACAAACTGTCAAATAGAGTCCCCAGTCATCCGAACTGATAAACATTGTTGGTGTTTTCTTTATAATGTCTGAAGATGTATCTAACTTTTCCTGAAAGAGATTTGCAGTACTATTGGTTTTCCTCAACCTCTTCATCCATGATCTCTTAATAGGTATATTCTGTTGACAATGAACTGATGATTGACACAAGTAAACCGATGGGTCATGCTTTCTACTCAACATTCTAACTTTCATTATTCCTGTTTAATTTATTCAGCTGATTTATAATCATAATCTTTGGATTTTTATCAGCATTTTCTTTTGATAACTAAATGCATAAGCTCCTTTTCTTAATTTACGTTGGCATTTCGATGCTTATTTAAAATCAAAGGATCGATGTGCATGTCACATGATTGTTAATTAAAAAAAATTCTGCAAATATTATTTGATAGCGGACATCAGTTGCGGTTTATCTTTCCTTATTCTCGAAAACTGAATAAACTTTACCTCATCATGGAATTCACAATATTTTCTCGAATTAAATTGATTAATGGCCTTGGTTTCAAAAATCTCTATTATGTGAAGAATCAGTTACAAAGTAAAAAGCAACCCATCACTGTCTCTCCGTGTTTAAAATTCCGTCGATGATGGACTAGTTAAACAGATCCGAAACCTTCTAAATACTGCAGTAGATCATCTTTCTCACAACCTATTGTTTAAAATTGTCTAAATAACATCCATTATTCCCTATTAGTTGCACACAATATATCATCCAAAGGCTTCTCACAATATTTTAGGCGTCAGCGTCACATAATGTGACACTGATGAATTCACGGACTTCGCTAAAAATATTTCACATTTCATTCCCTATGACGGCTTTCTGAACTTGCTGATATTTAGATAACTGACTGTATTCCCTGTCTTTGGAGTAAATTTTGTGAAGAAACCTGGGTTAATGAGCTGCAAAGAATGTGTTACATAAACTGTAGTTCGAAGTAGAGTTCAATTGTGTTACTTACTTACCCATTTTATTCAGTACGGATTAAATTTCTCGAATTTCATATAAGAATTTACATGATGACAGAATCTTGAATCCCCTAGAACTGATTTATTTTTTACCATAGTTGTCAGTATTGAACACTGTTCCTTGTTAATTGTAAAGTGGTGTATGTTGAGAACTAAAGTTTCATTTATCAAATTACTTAAGCGGGGTTTTTGTGCAGAATTAACAACAACGATTTATATTATGGTTACACCAGATGATAAACATCTCTTTACCTTTCTTGTTCTCGATATTTTCAGCCTGACATATTCGACAAAACTGTATAAAACTTAAGTGTACTTCAAAATAAGCTGCAGATAAATTACGCATATAATGTATTTTAACAGGCCACACAAAATGTATTTAAGATATATAGGTATGTGAAATAAAAAGCAGTCCAGCGAAGAAAATTTTCTTTTCCAATAAAGTCATCTTCAAAGAATACAAAATCGTGTTTATATATTAAATGAAACCCATAAGAGTCTACTATTGAGCGATAAGTGGATGTGACAATTGATGCATTTACTCAGACGCGATTTCTAAAGACTGGAAGAAGTCACGTAATAATTAGCGAATGAATGTAAGCAAAGGTTTGAAATTTGACAAGGTGAAAATTGTTGTCACCTGAAAGGCAAGTGTGAAGATGATGAGAATAAAACACTGACTAGTAAAATGTAGAAAAGGGTGATAATGTCGAATTACTCACCAAAAATGGGATCCAATATGTAGGGAGGAGTTTACGACAATAGTAGTAATATGAGACTAGATAAACATTTTCTGCGTACAAAATTCAGGGTTGTGTTGACAAATCACTACTGTCACAACTAAGTGTCGAAATCTAACACCTCGTGTACAGTTCGGCTTCACCTTGTAGAAAATTTTAAAAGAAGGTTGTGATGGAACTGTGTGGCCTGATTCAGAAGATGCCTATGAGCACAGCTGGTGATCGACTTAAATTTTTCTCTTGACAACCATGTCTTCACAAGTCTGCTGATCACCTGTCGACTCAGCGGTAAAAGTGCTTTTCCAGTATACATAAATGGCAATCTCCTTTAGGCTGTGTGGACACTTTCAGGCCGCTACTTCATTCTCATGCTTTTTGGACAAATGTTACAATTTTTTATGAGTTTGACCACGGACTGATATCAGTTAGAGAACCACTGAAAATCAGGGAGCACTGAACAGCTGTTTCATCCTAGTTTGGTAATCACCGGCAGTACGCATCCACTGGGGTTCGAATCCAGGACTTCCTGGCTACAAGGCAAGCTCGGATACCATTCAGCAACTGGGAACCGATTCAATGGCCAGTCCATGAATTCTAACTTCTAATAATTCGTGAGTATAGCGTGACCACCAACCAATGTCATCGGTGGGAAATCCATCCTCACACTTGACTGGATGGACATCACTGGTCACGACTTCTCACTAGAACTTCAGGAAACTGTGTCCTGTAGCAAGTCACTAGTGAGCATCAGATTAATTTTCAAGAGTTAGTTTGTAAGGATTAGATATCAGTTAGACAACCATTGAAAACCAGTCAAGTGTGAGGATGGATGGTGCTTACTGCAGATGGTTCCAAAACCAGAATGAAACGGATGTCCAGTACTCCCTGGTTTTCAATGGCTCTCTAATTGATACGAATTCATGGTCAAACTCGTAAAAACAAATCTAATCCTTACAATCCAACTCTTGAAAATGTTACAGTGTTCATTTTTCAACAAAAATAATTACTAATCTCGATATGGTGGTAGTAGTTTAGGAATATTTATCACTGGATTGTAACTGCGTTTAAAATGTGCTGAGTCTGCGGTATAACCTAGAAACAATCTCGGCTTGAATGCTGAATACCTTACTAAGCAGGTCACATTTTTTATTTTATTTTGATTACAGCTTGATGCCACATCGTATTTTTAGGTACAGGTATGGAATTTTCCGCATGTGATATCGGTAGCCCAAATTTTGTAGGCCGACCATAAATATCGGGTGTACACCGGCAGGGGATCGAACCCCGGACCATGTGCATGGTCGGCGAGATTCCTAACCACTGTGCCACCAACGCTTTAAAACAAGCAACAAACCGAAATTCACAGTTTTCCCTTAAGCTAATTATTTTTTAATAAACGATGGACAGGTAATATATCACAGTTTATCCCAATAAGCAGGCATTCTATTTTACAAAAATTTCTGAACTGAAATGAAAACAAAAATAACGTTATTAGCTGATTACCAGACTGAAGTTCTATATAAAAAGCAACACGGGTGGGCCAATTTAGAGATAAAAAAATTTCCCTCATATTAAAAGAATACACATTGTGTTATAAATACTTTCGTCTCCAAAATGCTTGACCTAAGCCCAAAAATTGAATCTTAAGGCTTTTCACCAATTTGTTTTTTATTTATATGTCTTTATCTGCTTTTGTATATGTATAAAACGGTTTCCACTTCTGCAGATGACATGATTTTTTGATAAGCCTTTTTTTCCCCTTTTAGTATTCGTGTTTTCTTGGCACCAATAAATAGAATAAACCATTAATAATGATTCATATCCGTTCAGCATTATCATCATCATCATCATCAACAACAACAACAAGAAGACCACGGTTCGGAAGAAATTATTTTGAAACAAATGGGCATGTGAGTTTATCAATAGATTAGAATTTTCAGCACGCCATTTTATATATACTCCTACCTCATTCCATCCAACTCTCTTCCATATTCATTCACCTGTGTCAATCATTTCATCAGTGATATGCCTTGCTGCTTTAGTCTCTGCTTGCTATCATTTTCCTATTTTCGTAGTCATCATTCTGATCACCTAGTTGTTGTATCTCCAGAGACTGATAAGCGTAAAGTTATGTTATGTAAAGTTTACTAACCAGCCAATTACATGTTATCACACTGCCATAAAAGTTTCATTAGTTTCTCTATCAAGCTATTGTGCTGATGAATAAGCACTGACGTGGTGGACAAACTAGACTTCACAAACACTCATAGGAAAAGCTTTTTTGAATGTTGGATTCACTACATATTTGTATTTTCATAAATTAAGAAGTATTGTACAGGTTTTAGTATTGCTTTGAAACCTCACTGAAGAGCTTAGCACGTAATCACTGAACAGTCAACCTATTGTTCAATAGTCTTTGATTTACAAATTTATTTATCAATTCAACTGCGCTTGTAGAGCGAGTTATGTTGGCCGTTGCTCTAGGAACTTGATTTTTCGTGCTCGAGAACATATCCCACTATGGCTAAGTAAAGGTGTAGTTAAAACTATTAACAGCTCGATATTAGACCATCTGGTGCTAACCGGTCACAAAGCCAGCGTAGACGAATCCTTCTCCATAATATAACGGGTCCCTAACAAACTACCAAAATCGTCGAAGCACCGCTTACTCCAGACAGCAGAGGCTATTGCAGTTCGCCTCAAACAACCAGCGCTCTGTGTCCAAAGAAACAGGTCCAACCCTACTACTTCCTGGCCTCAGTAGAACTATAACTCATGAAGTACCATTACTTCTAATTCTTCTGACATTCAGTTTATTTTATGTTGATGCTGTTCAGCTGCAATCTATCAATATTATTGATTTGATGTTATTTAAACATTAATGTCGTTCATAAGACTAATTCATTCATCCATTATAATGTACATATAATTGTAGAACCTGATGATGAATTTATCGAAAAGAGTTCTCTTTGTTGCGTGTCTATTCTATTGAAAATTTCTCTCGTTTCGAAAAATATTGTCACCTTCATTCACTTGCAGTGAATAACTAAGTGCTTTTCATACTAGCTCTATCGGTCACAGAGGTCCCGGGTCCTCATTACGACTTTGAAAATTTCCTCTGTAGGTGAGCCACTGGTGGTGAGTGAATAATTTGCTCAACTGAGCAAGAACAGTAGTTTATTTTTCTTTTTTTAACCTTCAGTTTATCATCAAGATGATTTCAGTGCATCTTTATTCATCATTGTTTTTCACCTAATGACTATCTATAGCATTAACCGTAATCATGTATAACAAATCATTTAATTCCAGCTCATCTGTTTATAGATTGTTCATTTACAAACCTATTAAAACAGAAATACACCTATTTAGATTATTATTATTTCCTTTAGTTCTTAGAGGAAAATAGGGCTTCAACCACAAGTCTCCATTGCATTCCGTACTCCGCCAACGTTTTCACCTGGCTCCACGTCTGCCCATATGCTTTCATCT